GCTCTTTATGTTCCGTCTGTTTTGACCTGTCCATCACGAAATGTTAGTGACATTGTTTTGATGGATTCAAAATCGAACCACAGATTTCAAAGAGTAATACTGAACTTTGGAGTTGTCCGCGGAATGGAACGAAATCGATTTCGTGTTTCCCGAAAGCGTATTGTACAATAAATGTACTTAGAACATAACAATCTTTTTTTGCTTCCTTATTGTGACCAGACACTCTCACGTAATCGGTTGATCGGAAGTTGGGACAATGAGAGAAGGAGAGAGGAACATAACCTTCTGGACACTGTAAATAGTAACCCACACCGCTTGACCACTGTCACTCAGACGAATCTATCATTGACGTTGTTTTATTGCTGTCCTACTCGATGTTGTGATACGTTAGGCTTGGTCATCGCAGTCGCTCCCTGACGAGCCATACTCATTGGGTGTATGTGAAATGGTTCACTTTCTGATCCCTGTGATGTCCATAAAGGTGTTCGCAGTTTTTCGATTCTCCTCTGTGACATCCTCTTATTAGATCAGAAACAGATCAGTATACACTCGTAGTACAGCGTCCCTTCCGCGTTCGTTGCCCAATAACTCATTGTTTCATTCCTAGTGCTTTTGTGTGAAATTCTGAGCGTGAAAGTTCATTTATATCGTATCAATTATCATTGAACTATTGTTTCGTTTTGTCCACAATACTATTCACGTTGTAAGTTCAATCCTCCCCCCGTCCCCGTCCTTTCCTTGTCCACTTTTGTCTGTAAGCATATGCTGGCTCATGGGGATATCGCACCCCAGCTCATTTCTTTCATGGATCTGATGCGATTCGGATCGAACATCACCGCCCCGGATCTGATCCGGCGTTCCCAGTCGACCGAATTGCACCGACTCGGTGTGAACCCATCGAATCGGACAAGTGTGCACAGAACAGTTCTAGCGGTTCGACACTTGTACAATCGGTGTGTGCAACCTGGCTACTACGCACAGCATTTGATCAGATGGCTTTCCTTTTTCCCAGTCTCACAGGTGTGCTCACGGTTGATTCGCTCGTCCAGTTCCTTGTTGTTATCGTGTGATTTTTTCGATATACACTTCATCGTTCACAAATTCGTTTCAAGTCCCTCGCCATGTGATTCTTATAGATAAACTGCACTGTTCTGTGTGGATATCATTCCTTATTTCATGCCCATCCGCGGTTGTGTAGATCATTAATATATCAGTTAAGTTTGCAGGTTGTACAACCAATAACCATGCACTTTCGCGTGTCGGTTTGTGTTGCTGTCTTTCGGTTGTCCATTTGGATGAAGCAGTATGAGGAAGATAGGAAAGTTGAAAGTAGAGTTGAAGTGAAAATG